GCTGGATGCCAGACTCTGGCCCTTGGAGTAAAAGCAGAGCCCAAATGACCGGGGTCAGCTGCAGAGTCAAACAGCTGGGGCCGCCCAGTCTGACAGAGCGACGGTAAGACCGAGCGCCAAGAGATCAAACAGCAGGAATGAGCGAGGGGCAGCCTGGAAATGTACATCAGCCCTTCTCTTGTCTCGAAGGGGCCCTTCTCTGGACCCGGCACCCCTTCTGTTCCAGCCCCTGGCAGACATAGGACAGAGCGGGGACCCTCGGGCTCAGACTTCTCTGGAAAGCAGAATGGGGTTTGCTTTAGCAAAGAAAGAGCTAAAAGAAACTGGGGATCCCTTGGACTCTTCTGGAAAGCAGGTATACCAGGTCAAGATTCATCATTTGGGAAGTGGTTGCTGAGTTACTGGCTCATGGAAGGTGGATCTGATCCCTCCCACCTCCGCCCCAGCACTGTTCCGTGAGAGGCAGGCCTGAGACCTCCCACACCACCCGCCCCTTCTTCCTTTTGGGAGGAAGAAAAGCCAGGCAGATGTCCTGGAGCTCTTCCCTTGCTGCCTTCACACAGCCCCTTGCACGTCTTAGCAGAAGCCACTTGGACACGAGAGGGCGCTGCGGCACCAGCTCATTCCCCAAAGGCTCCTTCCACCAAGGGTTCCAGGCTCCAGGACAACCGAGTTCTCAGTGCCCGCGGTCACATCCAACAGACACAAGGCTGGAAGCGATCCAGAAAATGGGAACTTTGTGTTTTGGCTCACTTTGAGTTGCCACTGATGATGCAACAGATTTTCTGGAGGAAAGGGGGAAAACTGTTACTACTATGCTAAATATACATAGAGATTTTAAGACCTGTTCTGATGACAGAAATTGAAAAATAAATAAATGTGTACTTTGAAAATAAGAAGATGAGGTAGTAATTGCCGGGGGAACTTCTGCAGGGATCTAGGCAGAAGTCCTTCGGCAGGTGATGGCCACTGTAGGGACTCCTCTGTCGGTCAGGACAGTTCCAGATGCCCAGGGAACAGCCACAGACATGACTGGGCTGGATTTCAGGCTGGTTATTGACAAGGGAGCCCGACCTCTCCACATGAGGGAACGGGCAAGGGATGATCGCTAGTGCTTACTGAGCACTTACTCTTGCTGTTAGCTGAGTGAGTAAACGGTTTACACGGATTATTTCATTTCATCTGCACCAAAGCCCTCAAAGACAAAGATGATTTCACGGATAAAGCAACTGTGGCTGAAAAGAGCCCAGTGCCGCTAATTGGTTGGTGAGCAGTGATGCACAACTCAAACCTCTGTCTCCGCAGAGGCGTCAGGGCGGGCAGGTCTCACTGCCTGTGCTTTCCAGTCCAGTTCTCAGCCGTGCGCACCAGCCGGCGACCTGGGCACCAGTCATCCCCGACGCCCCTAAGGATGGGGGGGAACACAAACCAGCATGGATGGTCAGCTTAGAACTCACCGGGGCGGGGGTAGGGTGGAGCTGGAGAGAGGGTGGGCATGATTTACAAGCAGATGAAATAGTCCTGTGCAGAAATCAGATGAAGCAAGTTTTCCGGGACAGGCTAACATTTAGATATTCTGTCCTATCTGCTGTCGGTCAAGTGGTGCATCCTGATTTTCAGTCTGCAGATTATGAAAGTGAAGGACATCTCAGGCAGAATTGAGCTTCTAGAGATAAGGAGCAGCAAATATAATCCGGGCTTGGCAGTGACCACATCAGGCATGGTTTATGAGATAATGAATGAAAAGGCTGTTGGAGTCAGGAAGTACCATACAAAAGAAAGAGATCGTTTTATATGATCCGGATCAAGAGCACCTTCCCCCACTCCCCCCTCAGAAGAGCACCTCCTCCCTTCCCTCGGAGAAGGCCCGTGACACACTGCAAACAAGCATGACCTGAATCATAAGTGGGTTCGACTCGCTGCCCTGCCTCCTTCCCGTTGTGCGGCGTTGAATCAGCAGCTTCACCGCTCTGAGCCTCGGTTTCTTCGGCTCTTAAGGGGGAATAATAATACTCAGACCCCACAGAGTAGATGATAGCCATGACAGCACATGTTTGTCCCATGTTACGAGCTGAGCACTGCGCCCACTGCTTTGTACATTTCAGGGCATTGCATCTTCCCAATAGATCGCTGTTTATCAAGAGGAGAGGCCCAGAGGGGACACTGTTCTTAAATTACAGAGTGAAATTCAAACTCAAGTTTATCAGACACTAAGGCTTAGAACTTAACCACCTACTGATTGGTCGGAGAAGAAGCCGGTGATTAAATCTGAGAGCGGCTGGAGAAGTAAGACCTCCGACAAGCTAAGGACGTTGTTGGTCTTTATGGACATTCTAATGGCATGGAGTGAGTTTTGTTCGAAGAGAAGAGAAGGGAGAGGAAAGGGTTTTTTTGATGTTCTTTATTTTTCTCTTTGGACAGGACTTGGTATTTCCCAAGACACTTCACATATGCAATCTCTCTCTCTTCTTTTTTTCTTTCCTTCTTTGTTTTGTTTCGTTTTATTGAACTATAGTTGATTTACAGTGTTGTGTTAGTTTCTGGTATATAGCATAGTGATTCAGATATATATATATATATATATATATATATCTGTATGTATATATACATACATACACACTTTTTCATGGTAGGTTACTATTGAATATAGTACCCCGTGCTATACAGTGAGATCTTGCTGTTTGCTTTATATGTAGCACTTTGTATCTGCTAATCCCAAATTCCTAATTTATTCCTTCCCAAAACCCCAGGACACAATCTCTTTTGGTCCTGATGCTAATCCAATGAGGTACCCAGGACAGATTTCAGTACCTCCACTTTACTGAAGATAAAATGCATCCTAAGTAGCTAAGCGACTGTCCAAAGGCCCCACTAGTGACAAAGGTGCAGGTACAATTTCAGAGGTGGCCACAGGATTAAAAAGAGACAGGTCATGAGCGAGGACTTGGCATGTCGACTGGCATCCAGCAAGCGCTCAATAAATGCTTACAGGATCTGAAAGGGTTTGAAAAGGCTTCCTGGACCATCCTCATCTCCTCTTGTCCCAAGCACGGAATTGCCACTATGAAGCATATTTCAGCTACGGTGCAGAGAGACAGTTTTGGATAACATGGACCATTTGGTGAAAAATTTGGGGTTGTTTTGGACATGGTCAGGGTCAGGTGGACAGGTCTGCAAGGGGCCAGGTGACTGATTCTACCTGTCGCTTCAGGGGACCTCAGAGCAGGACATAATCTAGAGATTGTCCGGTTCCCAGCTCCCAGCTCCCAGGCACTATGACATCCCTAGAGGTCCTGCTGTATCTGAATGCTACCTGCACTGCTCTTTTCTTATAGTTGGCTTGAAATCAACTCATTTTTTAAATTTACATGAATGTTAAATGGTATTGAATAGCAATACATTCTATTTATTCAATATGTGTACATATCATTCAATATTCATTCAGGAAACTGTGGATTTGATCTACTGGGGGAAGGTTTTTCTAACACGTGCATCTGTTCCAGTTCATGTATTTCTAAGAAATACACAGTGATTGAAAAATTAAGATGTGCCCATGGTCCACACTTCTGGAAACTCTGGTTCAGGCACATGCCTTCATTGTCTAAAGGAGAAAATGCAGCATCAGAGAACTTATGACAGAGATAATGAGTGGTACAGGGAGTCTTAAACTCAAGTCGTAGAATCTAGGGCTTTTTGCCAGTAAATGTTCCCTTTTGACCTCAAGCTCTACAACTTAGACCCCTAGAGTTGCCTGGGACCAGTGTTGGACGGTGGGAGATACAACATCAAAGTTTTCCCAGTGGGGACCCAGCTAGAGGGGCTATGGGTGATTCCGGGCTCTCCTCGGTGCTAACTGCCATCTTCTCACAGGCTGTGCATCGCTGTAATCTTGGTTTCTGTGAAAAAAAAAAAAAAAGGACAGTAATGTGATTTTAAAAAATATTTTTATAATATGTATGCTTCATAAATCCAGAAAGATGTGCATTGTGCCTTCTGGGAAAAGTTCATTTTTGCTATTTGCTAAGTGTTTACTCTCTGATAGACGTACCTGTCAGTGGCTGAGGATGTGTTTTGCACCAGGCACCGGCTTAAGGCGTTATCCATGCAATGGTGATTGCATTCTCACCAGCTTGGGAGGTAGATTTTCTTTTCTGTGTCTTCCAGCAGCCTTAGTAAGGGTTAGAAGTGGGATCTGAGCTCAGGGGTCTCTCCTACACAGATTTCGCGTCTCAGAGCAGCAGACAGATGTTTAGAGACAGAGCGATGGCCATGCTGGACCTAATGACAGCGCCGTCTCCTCCGAGGCTGGCCTGGAGATGGGAGGGATGCTGCTGGTCCCAATTACCCAAACTGCGGAGGCTGACGAGCAAGGGGTTTATACCATTTGCCCATAAAAATCACACAGCACTTCCGGCTCCAGGTTTTCCTCATCGCTGAGCACACCGCCCCCAGCTGGTCGGACACATTTACATCCAAGGGTGGAAGCACAGACTGCGCCTGCGCGACGGCCTCGCTGATGGGAACCCCGCCTCCCTGCAAAGGGCGACTTCAGAAAGGCTTGCCATCTGATAGTCAACGGCTCGTCCTGCCCGTCAGGGGGGAGTTAAAACATAGTTAAAGTTTAGTGGACTTCATCTACTTAATAATAAAAGTAATAATGGCCCAATTAATAGCAATCCTGTGCACTTTTATGGATGCTTTCATCTGAGAATCAAAGTGGTTTGGAAGAGAAGCCATCATTAGGCTGATTTTACAGATGAGAAAAGTCAAATGACTTGCCCAAGGTCAGGGCTGAGTCAGCCCTGGAGGGAGAAAGCCAGGCTCCCTCGTTCTGTCTCTCCCTCCCTCCCTCCCTGTGCCTGGCACTTAGGCAGTATCTTTCATCTGAGAATCTTAAATTAATCTCCCAACAATTATCACCATTCATCGGTGGCCAGAAAAAAAAAAAAAATCGCTACCTGGTTGGCCCAGCAGCGGAAGTCTCCATCCTGTGCCACCTCTCCAGGTCGGCAGGGAAGAGTGGGTGCTGTGTACCCTCCCAGGCTGGGCCCAGGGTCCTGGGTCTCCCCACTCGGTTGATCTAAGGCCCCGTGAAACCTAGCAACTGGGAAGAAAACAAGCAACAGGCCCAGTATCTGAAGCTGTTTCCCGAAAGTCATTTTGATGATACCGGCTTTGAGGGTTTGTTTATTCAAACTCACATAAATCCAGACATCAGGGCACGAGGTAAAAACAGAAGTTGGAGTCAGATACATCTGGATTTGAATTTTGACTCTGCCACTTATTGGCTGTGTGCCCTTAGACAAACTGCTTGCCCTCTCTGAGCCTCAATGTCTTTATTGGTAAAATCAGTACTAATGTATCTCAGGTGATTTTGACTCCAGCAAAATCAACTGCACATGGTCTCTGTCTCCTTCTGTAATTGAAATACTGCGAAATGATATTTTGCATTTATAGTCTTTAATATACTGTACCTTGCCGTATACATTCTAGAATATTAATATGCCCATGGTGCAGAGAACACATCCCAAACCAAATACACCAACATTTATGGGTAGATATTTTTAAAGGATTTTCAAGAATAATTTTAGCAATATTCAATTTTTGCCTTCCACTCTGATCAGAGGCGCTGATGTCCTTCCGCTTAATAGCCATTTGTGACCATTGGGAGGTTAGAAGGAACAGAACGTGTCTGAGCCACTGGGCGCACCCCAGTGGGAACGATTTTCATTAGGTACAGCCTAACAGAAGTACAAAGGTGAAAAAAAATTAAAATAAAACAAAAATGTCTTGCCTCTAAGAAAGGAAAAAAGGAGTCGAAAGAAGAGGCAGAAGGAGAGAAAGGGCTGCCCTGAGCGGCCGTGATCGGCGGGCAGGTGCGGGGCTGCGGGGATGGTGGTCCTCAGCCCCACGACGGCCTCCGGGAAGATGCCGCCTGCGCGCATCTCTATCTCGCCGCGCAGATGAGGAAGCAGGCTCGGAGTCAGGACAGAACCTGTCCAGGTTCACTGAGCTAGTAAGCGGCTAATAGGGATTTGAGCTGCAGCCTGTCTGATCCCCAAGCCTGTGTTCTCTATCGGGTACTTGGAAGCCTTCTTCCTTAGAATACATTTTTCCCAGATTGGGTGACGAAGAGTGTATCCGCTTATGCCCGTCAGGGTCCTGGCAAGAAACAGCTGACACATTCACCCGAGACCCTGAGGGTTAATGAGAATCAAAGATGTGGGCAAGGTGAGATTCAGGGCCTGGGTAGCCACTCCCCCAGACCCAAAGGGACGAGGGGAAGCAAGAGTTCCTGGACACTGAGCAGAGAGAGCTCTGCAGAGGGGTCCCTTCAGCAGGGTGGGCTGGGGTGTGGATAATAAATTCCCCGCCTCCCCCTTCTCTCTCCGTCCAATGTCCAGCTGGGCTCCTTACAGGCCAAATCATTATGAAAAGCAGAAGGAAGGGACTCTGTTTTCTAGGTCAGCCTCCTGGGACAAAAAGTGGAAGGGGGAAGAGTAGAGAGCAGATGTGGGGTGGGACAATGAAAGGACCCATCTTCAGTTATGAAGAGCCTCAGTGTCCAGACCGCCTCTCCTCCCAGAGCCAGGTGCTAAAGTCCCGGCTGGTCAGCCCTAACTTGTTCTAAGAGTCCTTGGAAGGTCTTGTCAGTAGCATCCCTCGAAGCTGGTGAGAGAGGCACGTCCAGTTCATTTCACAGATGAAGCAGCTGAGGTGCAAGAACAGGAAATGATTGACACAAACACAACGAGGGACATCGCCAGAAAAGGAAGATGGTGGATGGATTGCTCCTTCTGGCCCCCAACTAGCATATTCATTCATCCATCCCTCCGTCCATCCATCCATCCCTCCATCCGTCCATCCATTCAGGAATTATCTAACTATCTATGAAGTAACCGCGGTGTCGCAGACATCCTAATCGACAGAAAGCCTGGGGCGATGATGTATGTTTTCACTCTCCCATGGCTCAATTATATTGATAATCACCGACATTTATTCAGTGCTTACTGTTTGCCAGGGACTGTGCGAAGAATTTGTCTCTCGCTGCATTATCTCATTTAATCCCCCAATAACTCTCGGAGGGAGGTAGCATTGTTACGGTCTCCAGTTTACCAACAGGAAGTCGAGCCTTAGAGAGATTAAGGAACTTGTCCAGAGTTCCCCCAGCTGGGAGGTCTAGCTCCTTCTGACTCCTGAAGCTAGTGTTGAAGTCCCATGCTGCGTTTCAGCGCCCCACACTGGCCACCAGCAGGATGCGCGCCGCCCACAGACCGGCTTTATTTGTTTTTAACTAAGCCAACATGCAAACGCTGAGAGATTTCATTTTTAAAAATCCAGATTTCCTCACTTTTCTGATGAGAGTCTGGAAGACCTGGCCATGTGGGGCCTGCGTTTCTTTCTGGCACAACTGCATGTCTGTGTAGTTTGTTCATAGAAGCACCCCCCACCCCCCCGCCACCTGTCTCCATAGGGGACCAGATTCGTGGTCCTGGAGGGTCTGCCTCTTCCTTCCATGGCAAAATGCAATGCGGGGTGAGCACCCCTAGGATGGGGGCTGGAGCTTTTACCCTGGAAAGGGTCACTTTTCTTGCTACTTGGCCAAACCCCTGGGAAACCCTCAGACACAAAGGATTCAGGGCAGTAAACAGCTAATAACGTACCTGGCCTCTGCTCCTCCCGGCCGGGCCCCGGCCATGCAGTACAAAAGGCAGTCAGTCCCACGATGCCAGGAAAATGCCCGGCCACCGAGGCCCGTCTCCAAATGCAGCCCATGGCAACCCCATTGAAAGCACAGAAAACGCTTTCAACAATATCACCTTTTATCTTCGCTTTGTGGGCCAAAGGGATAAAACACAGTTGCCAAACACAAATTAATGTGTAATTATTTTCCTGGCCTGAATCATTTTCTTTCATGTGTCAGAGCATGCTGAGCAAATAGCGCCACACCTCAAACTTTAATTGTGGTAATCGGGGCACTGAGCCACAAGCAAGTCTTTTTCTAATGCCTCCTTTAGTGCTGACTTTCAAGTTGAAGCAACCGACTTTCTTCTTCCCCCTCCCCGTCTCTTCTTTTTAAGAAAAAGACATATATTAGCCGGAGAGGTCTCAAGGCTGCTGCAACCTGTATCATGCCGGCTTGGCTATAGGAACGAGCCCCACCCCCACCCCCCCGAATATAAACACAACCATCTTTGACAGGTGACTTAGTGCGCTAATGGCTGTTCTTTTCTCTCATTCATTGGGTGACTAATTATTTGCTTAGCGAGTTTGAGACCACCTATCTTTGTATTAATACTATAATAGGATGTATGCCCTGTTGTCTGTCTGCTAAGATGGTCTTGAAGTTTGAGTCGCATGAAACTAGCTTGCGACTAGAGAAGGGGGGGTTTCCTGCGGGCCTCTGTCAAAAGGAACATCGATTGGGGTCTTCTGATCCTCTAAGCTTTGTGTTGTAAGGAATTCTGAGCTGTTTCTTCTTTCTGCCTCAGCAGACATAAGGCGACACTCCCAGGTCCATGACGATGGCGTAGCATGAGAAACCAGCTCCTCAATCACAGGGAAATCACCTCCCTCTTCTCACTGGGGCAGACCATGTTCAAAGGTGTTTCTGGGGAATCAAAACACAACTGTACTTCTCCGTTACCTCTGGTCCCTCAGCGCCGGGCACAACATCGTCATTAACTGGGAGCTCCATCAACTCTTCTTAAGGCTCATTTGGGGTCCTTTGGGGGTGAGGGAAGATGGTGGGGCAGATGACTACACTCTTCTATAAGGAATCCATGAATTTTGAACACGAGACAGAAAAAGACCCTGAGTCTAGAAATGTTCTCCCCTTTCCATTTTAGCATTTTTCATTACGAAGTGCCCAGCCCACGAGTGTTTGTATTCACACCACTGACACAAGGTAGGTGCCCAGTAATATATGACAAGTGGAGGAATAAATTATGCACAAGTGAGTATCTTCAGAAAGTTTGTCTTAGAGGGATTTTGCGTGGGATAGGCTTAATTCTTTATTTATGCAGTCGTGCAAAGATGCATGCATTTATTCAACAATTGTTAAGTATCTACCCCAAGAACTGAGGATTTTGATAAAAAGACTCAATCCCTGCTCTCAAGAGGAGTCTGGAAGAAGTGGACACAGCTGGAAAGTTTCAGAGCCCTGGATTTAGGACCACTATGGAGAGAAACGCAGCTGGATCGGGCAACACCAACAGGAACCACCTTATCAGGGATGCGCTCCTGGTTCTTCCGGTGGTTCCTTGAATGCCGTTTGACATGATGTGTTCACGGACACTAACCATTAAGATGATGGTGAAACAGGAAGGGCTATGTTGGAACCGCACTTGTTTATCAACGGCGTGAGCAACTGCTTGGCTAAATTGAATAGCAGTTTTCAAATATTGGAAGAATATTTTCTTCCATTTTGTGGGTGCTATTCCCAAAGCAATGGCTACAGGTGTGACACTCTTGCAAGTTTAAGCTGCATTATTGAGATTCTCACCATCACTTTGCTAAATCGAATCGATCAACCCAACGTTGAACTAAGCCCTTATCAGTTTGCCGATTTCCACGTGGTAAATATTCCAGCCGTGGCCGACTTCAAAGCTACCAATGTGATATCACTGAGGGGACACCATAGGGCCCCATTATGTGGAATCTGCACCAGACAGACACCCTGGATGTAAATAATCTTCAGAGCGTAGATAATAGTAAAATGTAATAAAATAATTAGGAAGTGATGAGTGTTGAGTATTTATGACCTTTGTTTTTAATATAATTTACTTAATTATAAGTGTTTATAATTTAATCTTTAATAATTGCTGTGTTTAACAACCAGCTTGCAAAATCCCTGACAATTTAATAATTGGCTTTCTCAGACTGGTAAGGGCAGGCTCTGGCACATTCCTGGGCCTAATCCAACGTGGGAGGTCAAGGAGGGCTTCCCAAAGGAGGTGGTGATTCCTGAGCTGAGAGGCACCATAGTGTGGGGAAGACACTGGGCTCCAGCCAAATTCCTGCTCCGGGGATTTAAATCCCAGGTCTGCCTCTTCCTGGCTCTGTGACCTTGTTAGTTACTTCGCTATTCTCTGCCTCAGTTTCCAGTTCCTTAAAGTGGGAATGATAATGCCTAACTCACAGAGTTGTTTTGTGCACGAGGTGTCTGGCCCCTCGAGGTGCTCTCACGTTGGAGCCCCGGGAAGGTGAGGGAGGATGGGGAGCAATCCAGACGGACGGGGAGATCTAACGCACAAAGGCAACCGGGGAGAGAGACAGGGGCTCATGGAAATGGCCGGTTGTTCTGCAGACGCAGCATCCACGAAAGGACAAATGAGGCTGGCAGGGTCGGCAGGGGCCTTGAATGTCACCCTTAGAAACTTGGCCTTGATCCTGGTGGTGGGTCGCTGTGCTCTCGGGGAGGTCTGTCTGGGCTTGTCTCCCCATCTTTAAAATAGAGCTCGCCCAGCCCATGTCACCACTTAGGATGATCATGGCCATTACAAGGACTACAGGAAAATGCTCCATGTGGAGCCTGGCAAACGTAGAAATGGTTTGGTTATCATTGCTTTTATTATTCCCAGAGCCCTGCTCTGTGCCTGGGAATGAGAGATGAGTGAACGTTTGTGACGCTGGATTGCCTCAGGCAAAGATGCTCTCCCTCTCCCCCTCCCATGCCCTGGTGCGCAGGGCAGATGACCCCCAGGTAGAGCCGGCAAGGCCTCTGGGAGGGATCTACCTGCTGCAGCCGGGGCTTGACTAGAAGTGGCTTTCCCCTGGGTGGCGATCTGGAGGGCGCAAGAGGTCAGCACCTGCGGGGGGGGGGGCTCTTTAAGTCCCTCTGAAGGAGATCACACCAGGTGGCGTCCCCACAGCCCACGGAAGCTGCTGTCAGGTTCCCAAGCGGCCACCAGCTGGTGCTGGCGCCCATCACCGCTGCCCCAAGACCGCCTTTTCTTCCTGCACTCGGTGAACGTGACCAGTCAGGCTGATTCTCTGGATAATTTGGGGCCCTAAATGCTGTTGCTGGGAAACAATTAAAGACATTTGCTTGTGGGGGAAAGGTACAGCTCAGTGGTAGAGTGTGTGCTTGGCATGCACGAGGTCCTGGGTTCAATCCCCAGTGCCTCCATTAAAATAAACACCTAAACCTAATTACGTGCCCCCTCCTCAAAAAAAAAAAAAAAAGACATTCGTTTGTTTGTTCTGCATGAAATCACTAGCTTGCCTGTTTACGGAAAGCTGTTCCGAGCTCTGCCAGGTATCTGGCTGGAACAGACACAGCCGACAACTTACTGTTGCTTTTTAAATTGAGTACCTACTGTGTGCCAGGGGCTTTCATGGAGTTAGTCCCAGGCTACTGCCCACAGTTGTTTGTGAGAGATTTCTGGGAATAAGCTCAGTCGACAGAGGAGAAATGCTGGGTTTCTAAAGCATCTGCAGGGCTCTTGTCTCATCGCAGCCTTGGGACAGCTTGAGGAGCAGTTGTTACGAACACCCTTTCAGAGATAAGAAAGATGAGCCGCAGAGAAGTGAAGTGAATAATGGTAAATAACCAGGATGACTTCTGAGCCTCTGGGACTGTGCAGAATTTTTCCGCGCATAAACGGCTTCCCGAGCTGGCACAGTGGGGTGAAGTAGGTGCTATTATTAGCACCCTTGTTTCACAGCTGAAGACTCTGAAGCTCAAAAAGATCTTAGCTGCTAAGTGGTGGGACGAGGATGTCAGCCGCAGCATCGTTCTAGAATCCAAGCTCATAGCCGAGACTGGCAAAGAGCCCGGGGCTGGGAGGTGGAGTCGGGGTTGTAACCAGCCGAGGTTGTCTCTAAAGGGCTCCTCCATTCTTCCTGTCCCCCTCAGCACCGTCACTACCACCATCTTCTTTCACTTTGCGTGGTGACTTTCGCCCTCTGAATGTGGAACGATGTTCCCTGGGGAATGACGTCCCCCGGGGCTGAGATTCAACCGCCAGCGCAGGCGCTGTGTGGGTTCACATTCATCCACGGTTTCTGGGTCCACTTGAATCAGTTCTCATCCATTGCTTGATGGCAATCTAGAAAATTGGAGTGAAAATAAAAACCATATTCTGTCCTCCCTCAAGCTCTTTCTCTCCTCTCAACAAAGATGCAGTCCCAGGGGTGAGGGAGGCACTGCTCCCTGTCCAGGGAGGGCCGGGGAGAAAGGTACTGTATGGACGCCATGCTGGATGGCTTTGCTCCACCTCTGGGCTACCGGTGGGCTGAGAGTGACCAGCTCCTCCTGGAATGGCCAGCTTTGCTGTTTCTCACTGCACCTGCTGCTCTGTGCCTGGACCAGACACTTCACAGCCAGCATCTCCCCACTAACACCATCTCATGGCTTTTGTTTGTTTGTTTTTCCTTTTCCTTTCCTTTCCTTTTCTTTTTTTGTAGCCAAATTCACACCAATTTAAGAGACTTCATCCCACCCCTCTCCCCAAGGAAACAAAGTAGAGAGAGAACAAGAGGGGACAAGGGGCCGAGGAGCTGGATACAGTAGAGGAGAAATCTATATGGTGTGCTAAATGCCGCTGGGAGAGAGGTTTTCCCGTTATTTTCTGCTTACCTCAGTGGAATCTGCTTTTCATAATAAAAATATGACCAAGAATGACTGCTCGGCTCCTCATCTCTGAACTTAGAGTTATTTGGAATCTCAGCTCTGCCATCCATTGCTGTGTGACCTTGGGCAAGTGTCTTAGCCTCCCTGAGATCTTGCAGCCTCCTCCATGGAACGGGAGAGTACAGACTGTGTCTGTTTC